GTTCAAAAGTTGCCCTGAGTCACCCAGTCAGGAAGTAGCTCTCCAGCTGTGCACAGAGGGAGAGGGACGGAGTGTTTCTTAGGTGTGAGCTGTGAGCTGGGATAGTACAGAGCCATCTTGGGGACATGGAAGGAGCTAATTTAAACAGAGTTCCAGAGGTGTGATCAGTGAGACAGCAGACTTTTGCAGATCGCTGGACTAGCTATAAACCACACGTTCGACTTGAAAACGAGAGAAGCCCCAGATGGTGGGCCGTGTACTGAACCACCAGAGACAATGAGATTGATTGGTGTGACCATGGTGTTTTTGTTCCTGATGGTTGGCACGCCACTAATACAAATTACAATCTGTTATTCTTTTAAGTCCTGGCCCACTCCAGGTCAGAGGGTGGTTGTTTCTTCCTAGTTATAGGCAGCGTGAATATTCATTTACCTTAATTCCACCAAGGGGATGCCGGGCACTGCTAGTTCCGGGAAAATACAGTAAACGGGGGACAAGGCTCATACTCTATTTAGGTACAGACTTAAACATAAAATTCGTAAGAAAGGGTGAGGACCTTAAAAAAGGGGTCAGGTGCTACAAAATGACTGGTTGGTAGGGAGACAACTTTGCTATTTGACAAAGCACAATCAGGGCAGGCATCATGGAAGAGGTGACAGCTACATGAGGGACTTAATGATCAGAAGAAGTCAGTTGTGCAAAGGAGAGAGTTTTCCAAAGTGGGCTGAAATAAGCTTGCTGGTGTGTGTAAGGTGCAGCTGAAGCAGAATCAGCCAGGAGGAGCGTTTAGTCCACGATCTTGTAGAGACATGAGCGCCTTGACGTCTACGTAAGGATTCTGGATTTGGCCACGAGTGAAATTGACCACAGAGCCACCCCGTTTAGCGATAGGCACACAATTATTGCTTATCTCTGGGCAACATCGGCTGTTCTGTGCATGCCCTGCATGCAAGAAGACCTTGAAGAGAAATCCGAGTTAATAAATAACATACCCATTTCTGCTGTCTGGAGTGAGCCACGGGCGTTTCCAATCCCACCCACACATTTCCCAGCTTACGTTTAGGTAGATCCACTAGTGGACGCTGAGCTTGAGAAACAGGGTCCTCCTATTCTTGCCAGGGGCTTTTTTTTTTTTTGGTTGGGGGGATGGTTAAGGGTATCCTGAGATTTCCAGGAAGCAGAAATACAATATGAAAGGACATCATCACCTCCCGATAGAATGAAAACTGCTCTTCCTCATGGTTATCTCCTCATTGGAATACGAATCTATTCCCGCACAGGACAGTCTCAGAAATGCACGACTTTGGGGCTTATAAAAGACAGGTTCAGGAAGATGGGAATTTCTGGCATTTGCTGGGTATTTTACCCCAGTTCCATTCCAGGTCTTGAGTGCAAAGCCCAGCAGAGATTGTTGTGCCCGCCTGTACAGCTTTTGTTTCTAGATTTGATTTTCGAGAGAATTTTTTTTTTCCTTCCTTACTAGCGTCTGTCTGCTCAGACTACTCATTCATCATCTTATACTGCTGTCCTCTCCTCCCCGCCTTCAGATGGGGGAGGTTCTGGAAGTGATTAGGCTGTTGTAAATCAGCCTTTATGATGTGTACGTCAGAGATAAGCAGCTTGGAAAGCAGGAGTTGGAGGACTCCACTCCTCTTGCCCTGACAATTATCCCAGTAATGAAATTTAAAAAAAAAAACAAAACGAAAAGTGCCTGAGAAGTATGATGTTTGGCAGAATAGTTTTTCCGGAGACATAGCCAGCGGTTAAATTGGGCTCTTTAATGAGAACACTGTATTATTTTTACACTGTTTTGTTGAGTTATAACCTACATAACGTAAAGCAAACAGATATTAAAACTACAATTCCAGGACTTTTGACACGTGCATCCTTTTACAGTCATCACCGAGATCTGGGTAGAGGACAGTGCCTGCGCCCTGGCAGCTTCTTCCGCTGTCCTGACCTCTGTCACCGCAGACAGCCGTAGCCTGTTCTGCATGTAAATGGAGTCACACAACATGTACTTTTTAGCGTCTCTCAGCATTTTCTATGAGATTCAGCCATGTCGTTTGGCGTAATTATCTATTCTCATCGTGTAAAATTCCGATATATCACGGTCTGTCAACTAGCGTACTATTGACATTTGGGGCTGTATAATTCTCTGTCAAGGGGACTGTCTGTGCATTGTACGGTGTTTAGCAGTATCTCCCTGTTCTCTACCCACTGGATCCCAGTAGCACCCCCCCCACCCCCAGTAATTTCCCCTGGAATTGAAAAATCATTTAGCTATGCTACAATTTTTAAGAACAGTTTTATTTGGATATAATTACAAATTTGTTGAAAAGGTGCAAAAGTGGAACAAACAGTACCCATAATGTATTTACCTAGATTCACCTGTTGTTAACATTTTCCTCATTTGTTTTATCATTTGATCGCGCGCGCGCGCCAGAGAGGGATACGCACACACAACGTATTTCTGAACCAGTTGAAAGCTAATTGCATCCACCGTGGCCATTTGCCACCATACACTTCCCTGTGTCCTTCCCAAGACTTAGGATCTTGTCTGACATTACCTTCACTATCAGTTAACCACAGTAAATTTAGCATAATCCATTTATCAATTAGCCCATGTCCCAGTTCTTCTCAGTTGATCAGAAGTTCTCCTTTATAGCTTTTATTTTCACTCCAGAGCCCATTCCAGTCCAGGATCAAGTATAGTCGCTGTGGTTCCTTAATATCCTTCAGTCTAGAATATTCCCTCAGCCTTTCTTTGTCTTCTATGAATTTTTTTTTAAAGAATACAGTCCCTTTTCTTCTTAATAGAACATTCCTCCTTTCGGGCTTTGTCTAATCTTTCCTCCTAAATGCGCAAAGGGCACATACTCTTGACTGGAAGACTGCATATGTGGTGTGTCCTCCTTAGGACATCCCATCTGGAGGGACATGATGTCACTGGTAACTCATCAGTGATGTTCAGTTTTATCTCCCAGTCACAGTTGTCTGATTTCCCCGCAGTGTAGTTACTAAGTTTTCTTTTACAGATAATAAGCCGTATGTGGGGGAACGCTCAACAGCAGGCAAATATCATGCTCCCTAATCAAATTTTACCCCCTAAATTTAGCCTACTTTGAGTCTTGCATGAACCAGTCTTTACCCACAATGGTTACAAAATGATGATCTTCCAGACCCAGCACTCCTTCTGCATGTACGCTCCCGCCTGCTATATACAAGAGCCCACTCTTTCCCCCCATTTATTTGTGGATGCTTTTATCTGTGATCAGCGTGGACTCAGGAATTATAACATTTTTCAGTGGTTTATAAATCATTACTGTTTTAATGCTCCAATTGCTGAGCTGTGGCTGGTGAGATCCCGTTGAATTTGGGTCCTGCGTTCTTCTGAAAAACCCTCCCTTCGTTTTTTATTTTTAACACTTTTTTACTTACTTTTTGGCATAACAAGATGTGCCACGCTCGTCTTTTACCTTCCCTCCTCCTGTCCTGGAATCAGCCATTTCTCCAAGAAGTCCTGATGGCTTTGAATGGGAAATGGTAGAAAATGCCACAATTTATGTGTCCTTCCTCCTGTTAGTTGACATTTGAGTTGTTTATAGCCCTGGGCTTTTATAAAGAAAGCTTCTCTGAATACCCTTGTGTAGTTTTTGGATCTGTGCTAGTTTCTATTAGATCTATCATCAGGAGTGCAATGGAAAGTCATAGAATCTCCACCCTGGTTTTATACCCAAAAGAAATGAGTATGTAAATCCAACAGGAAAATGGACACAGGTATTCAAAGAAGCTTCATTCATAATTCGTACCTATACACATACAAGCATATATACACACATGTGTATGTATGTATATATCGCTTCAGTAGATAACGCTAAGCAGTGTTGCAAAGTGCCAGTAACATTAGTTTTGTGAGGGAAGCCAAAGTCCTTGGCCCCAGCAGGTGGGGCGGAATCATCAGTGGCAAGGGTTATAATGGGCCAGTGCAGTCCAAAGGCATGTTGTCTGTGACCAGAAACGGCAAAATGGCTGTTCTTTTTCCATTGATAATGAGTGGGGAATGCTGAGATTTTTCCACCTGGGCCATTCTTAAACTGCTCTTCAGAGAGTGCTGCTTTAAGATGGGCAAAATGGAAGCTACTGGAGTCAAGAATCTCCTGCTACCTTCAAAATGGTTTTCATCTCGGTGATGCCAGTGACAGCACTTAGGGAATACAAGTCCATTGCCAGGGGCAACTGCTGTTAGAGAGCATTAGGGTCACTGATTTATTTTTTAAAGTGCCCCCCCCAGGGGAAGGAGGAATGCACCCCAGAGCCCACTCACATCTTCTGACTGCTAGGGGCCCATTTAGAACCCTGGCAACAGTCATTTACTAAACAGCCTGAGAGAGTAAATATCCCTCTGTCTACATCCAGGAAGTCGCTTAATTTTCAAGACAGACAATGAGGGACAGCAGGCAGAGCAGGAAATTACTGGAGGCCAACGTGGAAACGAACTGGTCCAGTATCACGGGACTGGATTCCAGCCTCGGTGTTGCCAGGAACTGCTTGGGCGTGGCCCCGCCTCTGTCGCTTAAAGTTCCTTCCTCCAAAATATCTGTCCTGCGTAGCTTAAGAGAATGAATGCATCATTAGAAAGAGATGATTGAAGCACTTTGTCCAGTGAAATTCTAAACAGAGGAAACATCATATATAAGATACACAATGGGCACTGAAGTAATTTTGATGAATCTTTGGAGGCATTCATGACTAGTTAAAAAAAAAAACTCTCTGGATGCATTTTAACCAGGTGGCCCCTCTCAGTGGACTCCGGCCCACGGTGTAGTGGGGAGAGGCCTCCTACATACTTCCTGAGACAGCCTTTGTGCAGTGTGCAACTGTACAACCGTATGCAGCGACCCTGAGTAGATGATGGTTCAGATGACCCACACCAACAGTGACCCCCATCACTGCACATTTGCATTAACCTCTGTGGTCCTCTGCTCTGTCACCCCCAGGCCTCTCCGCGGATGGTGGCGCCAAACGCCAGGAGCACCTCTCCCGGTTTTCCATGCCCGACCTCAGCAAAGACTCTGGGATGAATGTGTCGGAAAAGCTGAGCAACATGGGCACCCTGAACTCGTCCATGCAGTTCCGCAGCGCCGAGTCCGTTCGCAGCCTGCTCTCCGCCCAGCAGTACCAGGAGATGGAGGGGAACCTCCACCCGCTCAGCAACCCCATCGGGTACAGGGACCTGCAGGCCCACGGAAGGATGCATCAGAGCTTTGATTTTGATGGGGGGATGGCGGGCGGCAAGCTGCCGGGGCCGGACGGCGTGAGGATCCAGCCCATGAGCGAGCGCACGCGGAGGAGAACTACTTCCCGCGACGACAATCGCCGCTTCCGACCTCACCGGTCCCGGCGATCCCGGCGCTCTCGCTCAGATAATGCCCTGCACCTGGCCAGCGAGCGCGAGGCCATCTCTCAGTTAAAAGAAAGGCCCCCGCTGAGAGCCAGGGAGGACTATGATCAGTTCATGCGCCAGCGGAGCTTCCAGGAGAGCCTGGGCCAGGGGTCCCGGAGGGACCTGTACGGCCGATGCCCCCGGACTGTGTCGGACCTGGCTCTGCAAAATGCCTTTGGGGAGCGCTGGGGACCCTACTTCGCCGAGTACGAGTGGTGCTCCACCTGCTCCTCCTCCTCGGAGTCTGACAACGAGGGCTATTTCTTAGGAGAACCCATCCCCCAGCCCGCCCACCTGCGATACGTCACGAGTGATGAGTTACTACACAAATACAGCTCGTATGGCCTCCCCAAGTCCTCCACGCTAGGTGGCAGGGGACAGTTGCACAGCAGGAAAAGACAAAAGAGCAAAAAACTGTATCATTTCTTAATCCGATGAGGGTCAGGGAATAGGGGGAAGATGGAAGCTAAGAATGTAAATTCAGAAACTTGCACTGTTTTCAATTAGAAGGCGCTTTTGGCAGGGGTGGTGACAGGGAGAGACGTGCTCTCTGTTGACGGAGCAAGGTTGCAGATTGACTCGGTAGGTAGTCACAGTTCTTGGCATGTTGAATATTATTTGCACATTTCACTTTGGAAACGCTGTAGACTCTAACGGAGGCCAGGGTTGGTCACCTCCTTCCCGTCCGTCTGTGTTGAGTTGCCACTGGCTAGATGGCACATTGTCTCCCGCTCGCTTATAGCCTCTCTGGTTCTCTTACTTATAGGACCCTTTTTCCAGTAAGTAATTTGTTTTATTAGCCAGGACCCAAGACTAAGTTATTTACATGTCCATTGTAAATGCAATGTAAATGAGAGTTCTGATAAAATATTTTTGTATTTTGTAATATCAAAGGAATTTCTATATCGTAGGACTCAGTGGAGACTTGCATGCATGTCTAGCATTGTCTTTGAGTAGTATTCCAAGGTGATCCAGGACCCCCTCCACCCCCCCCTTTTCTTTTTCTTTTTTCTATACAAATTTGTTACATGTCAGTGAGACCTTTTTCAAAGGATGATTATTCAATTTGGCTTTTTGTGGCTGAAAAAAAAATTATTACCTATTCCACCCAAAGCATTTGATGCTCCATTCCACCTGAAGGAGCCATCCTGAAGTCTGCTCCCACCCTCAGTAGAATCTCTTCTCTACAGAGTAATAGTAATTTTTTTATATATAATTGCAAATGTAACTTTTGCCAATTAGAAAAACCAACCAGTGTCAGTAAAGTTCCGTGAGAAATGCCATCCCTGCTGGGAACCTTGAAGTTGCTTACCATTGATCTGTCCCTTGGGGAAACTTAAGTGACTGTGAGTGGTGCCGTTGTGTGATGTCAGCATGACATTGTTTTGAATGTGGCATTATTTTCTGGTGCTCATGTTTCCTGGATCGTATTCTCTGCTTTCCTTTACCAAGGCAGACAGAACACTGCCTTAGCCTGACAACCGGTTGTCCTCAGCGCAAATGAACTGCCTCGTTGAGAACTTCGGGACCCCCAAGTTTCCAAGGGGCTCTGGGAGTAAGGGTGCATTCTAGATCATAGGTCGTACGTGGAGAAGGAACAGGTCAAGGGTAGAGACTGAAGGGGAATATGAAGGAAGATCCGGATAAAGCAGAACTTGTGGAGAAATGGAGTTAGAGGAGAGATGGCAACCCTGTTGAATCGCCCCACCCCCCACCCCAGTGCTTGTGGGAAATGAATCTGGTTTAACACGCTCCGTAACCAGAGTATCTGGGTTACCCAGAAAAGTTGAGCTGCTCAGGAGATTTTGGTGTGACGGTTTTGCGGAACACTTGTTGAAAGGAGGATTTCCATTGTGAACTTTGGGGACCGTTGGTCAGGCAGAAAGTGGCTCAAAAGTGAGTTTGCTTCAAGAAGACATTTAACGGTTGTGTTTATAGTAAAAATAAAACTTCCTACCTTGCTTCAGTTAAAAGTGAAGCACTTGCTTTTACTTCCATTCTCCTCCATCCCTTCGTGGATTGTGGCACTTGAAATAATCCATCGGAGGACCCGCCTTTAGTGAGATGTACTGTCGATGTAGTACACAGCGTATCTCAGTGGCCATCTGCCCTGGTGAGGTGAGCGTGGTCTCTTTCCAGTATAGTAATTACTACTTTCTAGTATTTTTTTAGGGAGAGGATGTGAAAAGTGGCTTTTCAGACACCATCCCAAATGGGTCTGGGAGAAGGAGGACTGTAAAGGACGTGGAAATGGCACTTGATTCAGGCTGTATGAAAATAATTTGCTTTTCAGGTATTAATATGACATTTGTCATTGTCAATGATGTTTTGAAAAAAAGCAATGCAAATGTTGATTGTGGCTGTTTTCCGCATGCTTTCTTCATATCTAAATGCTTCATTAATTATCCAAGCCTCTGGAGAATTAACTCTATTACGTTTGTATAGTAAGTTTGTAAACTGCTTGGCAAACTGATTAAGAAATAATGTGCACCACCACGCTACCAACGTGGCAGGTTTCTGGTAGAAATCGGGCGAGTCCAATTTGAAGTTCTGAGTTCTTTGATTGATAAGCATAAAAAGGCATTTGGGCAAAAGAAAAGAGAGGAAAAAAAAGTAGATTATACACAACTGAAGATAATGTCTGTCCTCTGTGGCCTAGAATCCAATGAAAGAAATTCTCCTAGTGAACATTGCTTTCTAACTCTCTCGTTTTGATAGTACCTCTTCTATTTCCCAGATGAGGCTTTAAGCACCATCAGCAGAAAGAAGAAGGTGGCTTAGAAACCGACATATAAGCAGTACCTGGAGGGATGAGCACAATAAGCAGTTTCAGATCTCACTGCCCAGGGAGCATCCATCATGTCTGCTGGTCAGAGCTTGAGGTATGATGAGATCCAAGTCTCAGGGTCAGTTGGTCTACAAGCAAGACCACCTCCATCTCTTCCATCCCACACGCAGCCAGGCACTTGGCAGAGGATGCCGACGGAGAATCGGTAAATCTTCACGGTGAGGATGGACCCTCCCTCCCAGTGAATGCCCTAGAGAGAGCAAGATGCCACTGTAGTGGAATTCCACCTTAGTGATAACTTCCACGTAACATCCCAGAATCCCGTTCCCCAAAATTCAGTGCCTGCTTTTCTGAAGCAAGATCTCAGGGTCCTTACCTGACTCCTCCATCATTACCGGGAGCTGTTCTTCTTGGTCAAGTTGCACCTCTTCTTAGATCATCATTTCTTCTTTGATAGACTGTTTTTTTAGGAAAAGTAATCTTTCCCCAGTTTCTTCTCTTCTCTAATGCCTTGGTTTTTGGGGCGTTTTTTTCCTACCTCTCCTTAAATTGATCTTCTTGTCTTTTGGATAAAACTACAACTTTGGAGTTCATTTCATTTCCTATTGCTGCTGAGTGGCAACAGAACTGGCCCTTTCCCAAGAAGGAGTCAGTGACAGTTCCCTGAATGGCCCTGCCGATGTGTATTACCCTCGATACTATGAACAAGTTTCTTAGCAGGCTGATGACGCGGGACGTGGCATTCAGGTGCCCTTCCTCCTGGTGCATAGTTCCAGGATTTCTACTAAGTGTGAAGATAAATGAGGTGAGAGAAACAAGAACTGTAAGTGCAGAGTTTTTTTATCGTTGGTTGTTTGACACCCTCTTTCCATAATCACCTTCCCTGGCCCTTCCTTTCCAGCCTCAGCCAGCCCAGCGAACAAGCAATTATGTGTTTTCATATGGGACCTGAAGGCAGCTCTTTCTCATCCTCTTTTCCCATCCCATGGGATGTTCCTTCAACGCGACACGCTTATATTTCCCTCTCCTGCAGCAGCTTCCCGCTTCTTGGGTACCCCAGCCATCGTTGAGTACAGGCGGGGCCGGTGACGCCGTGTGTGTAGCACGTGCTCTGCCATGCCTGCATCCTGGGCAGACAGAACTGAGGCACCACTGTATGCTTTCCCAGAGAATGCGGATGCAGCCAGAACAACTCTTTGCAACCCTCCAGCCAGCCAGGACTGGTTGCTCAGAACTGATCTTACTTGTCGGATAACCAATCTTACTTGTGAACTCATTATTTGTCTTCCCATCCTGGGCTCTATTGCCGTTGGCTCAAAACAGTACACCAGCCATTTAGGAAGCATCATCCATAAATAATTGTGAGACTGCAGTTCCTCTCCCCACCGGCATCGTGGATGCTAAAGGATGCTGCCTTCTTTAGGCTAAATGAAGACAAACCTCGTAGGCCTCCTTTTCCAGTCTCATGTTCTTGGCCAATTACAGGCAGCCTGCTGTTCACCATTTCAGAGGTCAGATGAGAGTCCATCTTCTTCTTCATCTAATCCCACCATTTAACAAGAAATAACACAGATATTTAAATTCCAAAGAGAGGCGCTCTTTGTGCATTTCTCTCTAACAGAAGCCAGATGCTAATACGTAAGAAGGAGGATCTGTCTGTGACAAAGGGAGTGGACGATGGAATCAGTAATCTGAGGATTTCATGCCGGAAAGGTAGCTGTTAGTGACTGTTCAGCACCTGTAAGGCTTTCAGATGGGCTCCCTGGCCAGCATTCCAGGTGCGGGACTCAGCCAAGCCTCCTCTGCCGATTTTGAAGGCAGTTCAGGATTACCGCCTTTTGAGGTACGTTTCATAAAGCGCAAGAGAGGTGGAAATGAAAAGAGCCTTGCCTCCAGTGGTCAGTCCCTCTGGGGTCTCAGCAGACACCAGAGCTTGTTAGTCTGATCACTCGGAAGCAGTCATCAAGGCTAGGATTGGAAAAAAAAAAAAAGAAAGAAAAAAAGAAGAAAGATTGCAATCTTTTTCCATTTTCTCAGACCAGGAGCCCCATCAAACCCAAGACTCCCATCAAACATGACTTACTGTTGGGAGCTACGCTATTTTCTAAGCTTACTTCCTGCTGATGAAACAGGCTTTCCCCACGGGGAATAAAAAAAAGGAGAGGAGAAAAGTCACGTAGTGTTAGCAAACATTTCTGTGATTTAGATACAATGAATCTGTAGGATAGAAAGAAAAAATAAAGTCTTGTTCTATCCTGAGAGGTTTCTGAGACATCCCTCACCCTACTGAGTATTTGGCCATTGATGTTCAAGAGGTCGCTGACCAAGCGTTTCTACATTTTTTCAGAGAGAGTTACTCACCAGGCAGGTGTGTTCTCAAGCCTGTCTAGTTCATTTCCCCGGTTTTCCCATAAAGCATTTTGCTTCTATCACGAACCCTGAATTGACACGCTGAGGCCTCCGGGTCCTCCTTTTCCCTCAGCAAATTAGGACTTGGGCAGTTTTCCCTCTACTGAACACATTCTCTCCTGTACGGGGAGCCCTTTATCCATCTCCTGCCCGAAGTCCACGTGCAGCAACGAAACCTCAAAGGGCCTGAGAAGGTGAAGCACGCCAGAGTCTGTCTTGTGTGTCGGGTGTCCGGCTGTTTGTTCAGAAGGTCTGCAGGAGGCCTTTGGTGTGGGCTCTGCCAGAGACTGTCGTGAACATTTTGCTTGAGATCCGTGCCCTGTACAATGGATATGATGTTTTACTGATGTCTGTAATACGTTTGTAAACTTCCAATAAAATTTGAATAAAAGAGATGTTGCCGTTCTTCTCCATCTTCCTTCGCTTTCCAAGTTTTGGGGAAATCTTTGCCTTTGAGCACCTCGACAACAGAGGAGAGAGGCTGCACGTGTCGGTGTGGGGGGGTGAGATTTGCTGTGAAAGACGAACCTGATTGCTTGAATCGGAGTTTTGGCACTCTTAGCATTTGGGGCCAGTGACAGAGGACCGTCCTGCGCGTTGTAGGATGTTTAGCAGTTTTGCTGACCTCTCCCCACCCCAAGTTGTGACAACCAAAAATGTTTCCACACATTAGGATGGCTACTATTAAAAAAATGAAAGAAAAAAAAGAAAACAAAAGATACAGAAAACAGTAAGTGTGGGTGTGGATGCTGACAAATTGGAGCTTGTGTCCCACTTATGTGCTACTGGTGGGAATGTCAAATGGTGCGTCCTCTGTGGAAAACAGTACAACGGTTCCTCAAAAAATTAGAAATAGAACTACTATAAGATCCAGCAATTCTCCTTGTGGGTATAAACCCAAAAGAACTGAAAACGGCGTCAGAGAGAGAGAGTGGTACAGCCATGTCGGTAGTAGCATTAGTCACAGTAGTTAAAAGGTGGAAGCAACCCAGATGTCCACTGATGGATGAATGGATGAGCGAAATATAGTCTTTGTATACAGTGACCTATTACTCATCCTTCAAAAGGAAGGAAATTATGACCCATGCTGTAACATGGATGAAACTTGAAGACATGATGCTTAGTGAGATAAGTCAGCCACAAAAAGATACATTGTATAATTCAGCTCTTACAAGGTACCTAGAGTAATCAAATTTACAGACACAGAAAGTCAAAGCCTGGTTGCCAGGAACTGGGGGAGAGAGAATGGGAAGTTGTTTGACGGGTGCAGAGTTTGTTTTTTCAAGATGATAATTCTGGAGATTTGCTGCACAACCATGTAAATGTACTTACTGCTGCACTGTACACCTAAAAATGGCAAATTTTATGTTACCTTTATTTTACCACCATTTTTTAAAAATGGCCCCTGCGGACAAAGTCCCCACCACTGGTTGAGAACCACCAGAGTAAATGCTCGGACTTCTTAGCATCTCTGTTCCTTGAGGAGTCTTGAAACTGACTCCTACCCAGGCCACACAGTTAATTTTCAGTTATTAGCAGGAATTGAAACCAGCAGATGACCCCAAAATATTTGTATTTGCTTTTAAGCAAATAATAAGTGGGTGGTGTGGAGAGAGTTAAGTGCATGGCTGTGTGGTGGTTAGGATGGTATTAATATTGTCTGGGAGCCGGGACCAAAGCAGCACGTAAATGAGATCCCCCATGTCTGAGACACAACATTTGGGAGCTGCTGGATACTGCAGGATTGTTGATTGATTCGTGCAACAAATGTTCACAGAGAGCCTACTCTCCCCCAGGCACTGTTCTAGGTGCTTGGACTACAGCAATATACAAAACTAACAAAGCTCTCTGCCCTCAAGGAGTTTGCAAATTTGACTTTCTCCTAGGTGAGAAATCTGAAACAGCAAATAGTCTCACCGCCCCAACCATGAGGGGCCTGGGAGTTGTGGATGAGAACTATTTCACTCTTGGTAGTCTTCTGAGAGCCTTTGGATGAAGGTTTAGAAACGGCAGTTACCCTGCCAGTTCTGCTTACAGATGCTCCTGGGAGCACAGGCTTCAGGTAGCCGTGGTTTCACTATGTGACCTGCCCCCTCTTCCTCTTCCTCGGCAAGATGGAGTCAAGAACAGCAGCTAAACGGTCATCTCTGAGTGACCTAATACAACCCGGTCAACTGGACCGAACGGAGCCACTCTCTTAAGAATACAGATTAAGACATTCCGAGCAGGTGAGGCAGTGGAAGCTGAAGCTAAGAGGCTGTGTGTAGGGAGAGCTGGCAGGAGGTGGCATCAGGCCCACGAGCATCATGGTAAGATGAGGGATGAGGAAACTGAAAGCGGAAGCTCAGGCTGAGAGCAAAGATGGTGAGCACAGAGACTTGAAGTGACCCAGAAGAGCTGGTCCCCAGGACTTCTCACCTCCACACAGACTCCAGTTCCTGCATGGAGGGGCTCCTCTCGGATTACTACCAGGCTGGGGTCCCCCACGCACCCCCTCCCCATTGTGTCTCTGTCTTGTTACATTGCACGCCTACACAGACTCCAATTTGCTCTGAAGTGTTCCTCACAGCCCTAATTACAACGTGAAAGGGGGAAGGAAAGAGCTCAGTGGTAGAGTGTGTGCTTAGCATGCACGAGGTCCTGGGTTCAGCCCCCAGTGCCTCCATTTAAGTAAGTAAAGTAAGTCCCCCCTCCCCCCCAAAAGTGAAGGATGAAATCTGCATACCAGTTACCACACCTTTCACTTTCCCCTGCTTCCCTCTAATATGTTCAATCCCGTCTCAACCACTTGCTTAGTCATGTCATCTTAGAAAATGTCCACGTCCTCTCTGAGTGTTGGTTTTTACCTGTAAGTGTGAGAATGGTGGAGTTGTTGTTTGGTTTTACTGGAATGATGCATGTGAGGCCCTTAGCACTGCAAGAGCTTAAAACACGTTAGTTTTTGTTGTTGTTAATGTTATTACTACCACTTCTGTCCCACCCAAAGAGAAAGAGCAGTGGGAGCTAGACACCATTCGTATCCATTCTAAGAGCGTTCATTATCTTTTCTTCTAACGTAAGCATTAAGTGGGATTTTGAGACATCCCAGAAAAGCCTGAATCTTTGCTATATTTAAGAAATGCCTGCAAAGCTAATTAAATAATGCAGATCTCCCATAGGGTTCTGGGATCCTGGGGGAGAACCCAGAGTCTGCTTTTTTTTTTTTAACAAGCCCCTCTGTCATTCTGATCCAGCTGGTTTGAGGACCACACCTCAAGAAATTCTGCCTCAGCGTGTTTTCTTCCAAGTATCCAGCCAAAACAAAAACCATGTCTGCCACCCCACTCACTTCAGGGGAATCTGATGACAAACCCTTTGGTCACAATGGAGAGGCCGAAGCCTGAGGTTTATAATCCAATTTTGGGACGATCTCGGGTATATTCACTCTTGCTTAGGAGTGACAGTCTTCAAAAAAAAATGTAATTTAACTGACTTTAACTCTTCTGATCGATATCATTGTATATTAAAGAGATTTGTTGAAGCGATACGTAGTTTTGAAGACGAGGGTGAGCTTATTATGAAATCCATTCTAATAATTACACTCGGATTTGAGAATTGCTACCCTTGGCTTGTGCAGCCAATGACTTTCACACATCAAATTACCTCAGTAGATTATATAAAATGCAGAATCCCTGGCAGCATCCTTAGAAAGTCTGATTCAGCAAGACTGGGGAGAGTGCATTTTTCATAAACACCTGGAGATCTGAGAAGAGCCTTTGGGAAAACCTGCTCTGAGCCTTTCTCACCATGGGAAATCCTTCCTCTTCTGTGAGCCCTTAGGTGCTAAAAGCAGTCCAGCTTGTGCTACGGAGCTTCAGTCTGGAAGGGTATTGCTTCTGAAATGTTCACCTACCATATGTGTAAAGTTCACGGGTTTCTTAGTGGCCTGGAATGAGAAAAACCTCTTTGGAAAACCCATGCCCAGTGTCCCTTCTAACTACAGTTAGTTTTGTCTGAGAGAGAGAGATCCAGGCAACAAACCAAGAAGGGAACCTTCCCAGAAGATGCAGTAGACAAATAATCAAAGACAAACACAGACTGTGGTTCAGCAGGAAATGGTTAAGCCAGTAAATGACACAATCGTACCCAGCAGGGGAACAGCTTTCTCAGCAAAATACTAGCAGATACTTGTTTCCCTGCTAGGCTGGCTGATTCTAGTGATAAAACAGATCATCAGGGTTGACGGGCAGCTTTGTACCATTAACACACAATAAGATAGTAAACACAGCGAGACCAGAAATACCAGAAAGTGAACCCAATAACTTGAGGAATTTGGGTCTCAAGAAGGCAACTGTCTTAGGCCAGATTCTTTGGATTTTAAGTCGTCCAAACTTACTTCAAACTGACTTGCGCGAAAGGAAATCAGAGATGGAGAGAATTTATTTGAAGGCTATTGTGTATCTTGTAAGAACCAAAGGGCAGCCCCTTCGTGAAAACTTGGAACCAGGAAGAGGAAAACCACAAAGAGCTCAAAAAAATCTGTAAGTGATCTAAAACAACATGGTAAACTGGAGCTGTCAGATTCTGTCCCAGTTTTTAAATCTGTCTCCCTTAAGTTGCCTGCTTACACTCCCTTTGCGATCTGTCTTTGCAGGGAGCTCATGGACACAGGTGGGGCTCCACAGCCCCCTCATTTAGCCCCTTAGTCTCAGGAAAGAAACTCTGATTGGCCCAGCTCGGGTCAGGTGCTCCTTCCTGGTCCAATCAACTTGGAGGAGAGGCGGGTGGATTCCTAGCTGAGTCCTGCACGTGCTGGCAGAGTGCTAGTTTTTGTGAGTGAGGAAACAGGTTTTCAGATAGAGAAGGTCGTGGGCTGGGCCAAAATGTATCTCCTGTAACAACTCTCTTAGTACCCCAAGGAGAGGAACCAGGATTATTACCTATTGGCTGTATTTCTAAACAGTCCTGTGCACTCCGCTTACTGAATGGGAGCTACCATCTCAAGGGAGAATTTCTACAACCCCCCAAACTCTGTGACACCAATTGGCCCAGTCTTAGCCAAGTATTGTATTCAAAGAAGCACAGTTCAGGAACCAAAAAACATGGTAAGTTTGTACTCAGCATTTCAAATCTGTACTCTCTCTCAAGAAAATGCCAAAGGAGGAGTGAATTCTAAATGCATAGCAAACATCTTAAAATTCTCTCTCCATCACTGTCCCTTTTACTATCCTGTTTATGGCTGCCAGGTTTCCCCCCGCTAAATTCTGTGTCTTCCACCCCTCCACCAAACATATCCTGTGCACAGACATTTTCCATCCCATTTTCCCTTTTCCCTCCCCTGCTCTTTTTTTATGTAAATCCATCAGCCAATCTATCCTGTTTGGTTTTTTGCCTCTGCTTTCCTCAGTACCC